TGAGCCGGGGATGGGACTGCGAGAGCCCCGGAGGGTCCTGCAGCCGGTGCGGTACCGGTGCCCTGCACTGCCTGCGGTCACCGTGTGCCACAGAGGGTGCAAACAGTCCTGTGCCTCTCCAGTTCTGCCAGGGCCACCCTTGGCTGAGGGCTCTTCAGTTCTCTGTGACCCCCAGCCCCCCTCTCTTTCTCTGTGGTGACCTGCAGGCTCTCGCCAGGGCTGGGGTGGCTCCAGCCCCTGCTTGAGGGAGCTGTGGGAAAGCAGCCAGAGTCCCCCCAGCCTTGGAAATCTGAAAGAGCCACTGAGAGTGGGCAAGACATACTGGAAGGCCAAAGAGGCCTGGGGCTAGGAGCACGGGGCTGCCCTGGCAGAGGCAGGGAAGCTGGGCTGCACTCAGCACCCAGCACCCTCCTTGGCCACAGGACCATGATCTGGGGGTGGGGGCAGCATGTCTGTGGGGTGCACCAGCCCCAGCCACGTTTCCATCTCACAGGATGGTGCTGGGATGGGGACCTGGAGGAGCTATGCCTGGCCAGGGGAGGATAGCCCCTGGGTCTGTGCAGTGAGTGTGTCCCTGTCCCCCAGCAGTGCCTGTGCCCGCAGACACAACAGTCTCTGCAGCAGGCGCTCGGAGCTGACAAGGCCTGATAAGGTGCCATGGCCCGAGCTGGGCTGGGCACCTGTTTGGGTTTAGTCCCTGCTTGGACACTGTGTCAAGGCTAGTGCCTGTGCCCCAAGTCATGGCCACTGTGCAGCAGTGCCAGGCAGGGCAGGGGCTCCAGGGCCGTACTGGTGCCAATGCCTTGCAGAGCCCCTGTGCTGGACTGTGAGGGGAGAAGGGGGACTGGGAAGCATGGAGAGGGACACACGGACCTTGTCTGCCCACCCGTGTTGCCCACACCTGCCTGTGTCCTGCCTGCCTGCTTGTCACTGCACAGAAGAAGATTGTCCTGGGAGCCCTTGTGGCCAGTGCCACCAGTGCTGGCACTCAAGCCCCAAAATGCCAGTTTGAGCACTACATGTGCTCACTCATTAAATGAGTTCAGGGTTCTCAGCCTGGGCCCTGCATTACAGCCTGGCTCTGCTCCTCTCATCCCACCCACCACACTGAGCCCTACACCAGGGCCCCATAGCGGGGCCCAGTGTCCAAATGTTTAATGACTGTTAATTGTACGTGGTGCAGCGAGCAGCCACAAGCCCCAGTGGTTCCCACCACCCAACAGGTCCTCAGCAGGGCCAGCTCAGACCCTGCATGATGTGTTTGTTCCCTGCCTGGAGTGACGGTCCTTCCTGATGGGCTGCACAATCTCCTGGTGGGTGCTGGCAGTGGGGATGGCAGCACAGAGTGGCAGTTTTGCTGGTGTTGACCAGGGCCAGCGTGGTGACACAGCTCCCTGCAGCCGCTCCTCATCCCATGACACGAGTTGAGCAAGTCTCTGCTGTACCCCTGGCCTCAGCGCACCCTGTCCCTCACCCCACCCCAAGACCCCCTACGACCGGTACAGGTGGGTCCCCTTGGCTGCCCCGAGCCCAGCGCTGGCTCAGGTGCCTCTGGTGCAGCTCGCGGGTCACCAGACCCCCCGGGTGATGCTCGGGAACAGTCCCCCCGGGCACAGGGGCTGGTCGCTGCCGTCTCCCGGGTCCCATCTCAGTGGTGCTGCTACTGTGCAAATCAGTTTTAAAACAAAACTGTGCTCATTCACAATCCCAATCTCACATTCACGTACTCAGAAGCACCACCTGGCAGGTGTCCAAATAGTCCTGCCAATGTGCAAGCACCAAAACCTGGGAACTTGAGCATTTCCTAATCTGGGTGAGGCCAGTGGCTGCAATTCTTGTATACCTGTTCCTGCACTACTTCATGGTGCCTCTACACCCAGATACACCTCTTCATTTTCTGTTCATCCAGTCTTAGCATTTCTATTACAAATATATACACCCCAGCAGTCTTTAGTGTACTCCCAAGGACTTCCTGAACTAAGATCTGTAACCATAGGTTTAATAACCCTTGGTGAAATTTTACTTTTCCTTATTAATTTGTCAGATTAATTTTTAAATTTATTTATAGTTGTGGGCTTTTTTTCTTCCACAGCATTGGGTGGCAATTAATGTACTATAAATCCTGTAGGGA